CGGACTCGCTGGAAACGGTATCATACTCCGATCTGAAGAAAGTTTTAAAGGAACATTTCCAGCCCAAGCAATCTGTCATGGCTTGGAGGCACACATTTCAACAGAGAGATCAGCGAGTTGGAGAATCAGCAAAAGAATACGTTGCGGCCTTGAGAAGAGCAGCTAAACCGTGCGACTTCAAGGACTTAGAGGAAAGACTACGTGATCGTTTTGTGTGTGGACTGCGGAACACAGACTTACAGCGGAGACTGTTCGCCAGGGAAGATGTCTCCTTCCAAGATGCTCTGCGAGAGGTCTCAGCAGAAGAAGCTGCAGGTGGGGTGGTCAAGAACATGCGGCCCAAGCGAAACGCTCCAGAGACCGCCACTATTCACAAGGAAGACGTGCGCAAGGAGTCGGAAGAAGATCCTGAAGAAGAGGTGGATAAGCTTTACCAAGCAGCTGGGAGGAGGTCCAAAGATCGTCAGGACAAGGGCCCAGCTGAGCTTCGTTGCCTTGGATGCGGTGGACGCCACAAGCGAGCGGAATGGTTCCGTTCCACCATTTGCCGTGCGTGCGGAAAGAAAGGCCACATCGCTGCGGTCTGCCTAGGTCGACAGAAGGTACAACCAAAGGAAGAATTGAATCTGAAAGGTACCAGGGTGCCCAGCCAAAACAGGGTGGGGTTCTGTGCAACACGCCGGAACATTTTAAGAATAGGCACACACAAACCCCTTAAAAAGAAACTATCTCTTAAGGTGAAATTGCGGGGAGTTCCATTGTCGATGGAACTTGACACGGGGTCTGCCCTATCCATAATTTCCCTCAACACATTTCACAAAATCTGCAGCAGCAGTGGCCAGCGAGTTTTCTTAAGGCCCTCTAATGTAATCCTTACGGATTTCCAAAATTCTCAAGTGTGCGTTAAGGGGGAGGCCACCCTTAAGGTACAGTACAAGAATTTTTCAGGCCCCCTAGACGTGTTGGTTGGGGGGGTGAGCGAACGAGTCTCATTGGACTCGATTGGTTTGAGGCCTTGGGAATTCAGGTAACAGGACTACATAAGTTGCAAACAGAGACCCTTGCAAACGTATGCAAGGAGTTTGCAGATGTGTTCAGTTCTGAACTAGGGTCCTACACAGGACCTCCAGTTTCACTAAAGCTAGATCCAACGGTACAGCCCATCAGGGTTAAACCTAGGAGAGTACCATTTGCTCTTAAGAGTAAGATTGACGCTGAACTGGACAAGTTGCTCCAGCA